ACAGCTCCTCTCTGGGTTGTGTCCACTGTGCCCCAGCTCCTGATGCTGCAGTAACTGTGCTGTGCTCCATCCATCCTGCTGTCCGTTCTCTCTCAGTCCACACCTGTATATTTGCAGTGCACAATTTAAAGTTTTAGAGTATTTAGAGTCATGTGACTGTCACTATAACCTAATTCTAGAGCATTCTTTACACCCCAGAGAAACCCAGACCCACTGGCAGTCTCTCCATGCCCCCTCACCACAGGCTCCCCTCAGGCCCTGGCAGCCGCTGGCATCCTCCTTGCTTCTGTGGTTCTGTCTGTTTTGGACATTTCATACAAGTGGGATCGTGCGTGTACAACATGGGGTCTTCTGTGACTTCTCTTCAAGGCTGCTCGTGTTGTGGTGTATTTTGGGAGTCCTTTGGACCTGTGTGACTCCAGAGTCTTCCCATGTGGGCTGGGATGGTCGCCCACACGACCACATGGTGTGGGTGTCCAGTGTCTCGTTTTTTTCCAGGTGGTGATCTAGGTTTTTTCCTAGGTGGTGGCTCTGTGATTCACTGTTTAAGGACTGGCCGGCTGTTTCCCAGAGTGGCTGCTCCGTATAAGACTTCCTGAGTCACACCTTGCCCTGCCAGTGTCACAGCTCCTAAAACCTTGATGTTCTTTCTAGGGCCAGCAGTTCCCAGCGTTGCTCGCAGACCCCCCGCTCTCAGGCCGAGGGGCAGCAGGCTCCCCGCAAGTCATCCTGGTGAGCCACGCCCCGCAGTCGCCAGCTGCCCCCTGTGAGGAGATAGCCTACCAGGTAGGGGACTCGCCCCCATGGAGCTTCCACAGCTCAGACGCCTGCCTGTGCGGGGAGGCTGGGAAGGCCTGGGGCCGGTGACAGACGCAAGACCTCACTCGTGCCAGGGCTTCTTAGGGGATGAGGTTTTAGTATCACAAAATTAGCTATAGTGAGCACTGATCTGCAAATCTAGTTTTAAATCAGTAACAATATTTTGTATTTGCCCACTGGTCGGATTTCACACAGCTGTTTGCCTCTATTTAGTGCTTTCGGAAGATTTTCTTGTAACACCTTTGCTGGTTCTGTTTTGTGTCATGACTTTTTTTATGTACACATGGGTAGATTTCTGTATGTTAGACCTATTTGTCATTTAACTCATCTTTTTTCTTAAAATTCATGTTTTTGGAGTCCAAAAGTTTTAGTAAATGACAGTCTAAATATAGAAAAGCCTGAAACCTCCTGTCTTAAAACTTTCTAGAGTTAGAATTAAAGCACAAATAATAATCTCTGAGTTTAAGAAACATTAGACATTGTTCTTAAGCATTTTTAGAGGATGAATTTTCAGAGTAATTACTAGGTTTTCAGTAGGATGAGGACTTTCTCGTACAGAAATTAGGTGTGAGCAGCCCTGGAGTTTCCCCCATGTGGCCTGAGTAAGCAGAACTCTTCTGGGTAAATTCCATTTGTTTAACTTTCACACCCTGGAGTCTGGGCACTGGACTCAGGTGTGATGACTCACGGCCATATCTCACAGGACCAGGAAAGTCTGGTAAACTCATGGTTATGACTTATACTTGGTTATAGTGGAAGGGGACACACCACAACCAGCAGCTGCAAAGGCCCATGGGGTGGCATCTGGACAGCTGGGCTCATTCCCCTGGCGCCCTCTCCAGTAGGGGCACACGGACAGTGCTAGGCAGGAGCCCTGCTGTGGGGTTCCACCTGCTCAGCCGTGCAGACAAGGGCACCTGCAGGGTGGGGTTTCTACCATGCAGCCTTCAGCCCAGTCCTCCTCACTGTGGGCTGCCCAGGCCCTGGTGAGACAAGCAGGTGCTTACCAGGAACCTCATTGCTAGCACAGACTGTTGAGCACCACCCAGGGTCCCGGGTGTTAAAATAGACTCTTAGGTGCCAGGATATTTCAGGGCTTAGTAGGTTATATCCCAAAAACTGCCAGGGGTGTAGACGGAGTGTGCAGGGTTTGAGGAGGCCAGGCCAAAAACTGCCAGGGGTGTAGACGGAGTGTGCAGGGTTTGAGGAGGCCAGGCCTAGTGAGTGAAGTGTTTACTATACCCACTGATTGCTGGATAGAAAAAACAATGACTTTTTTTTTTTTTTAAAGACAAAGTCTCATTCTGTCACCCTAGATAGAGTGCTGTGGTGTCAGAGCTCACAGCAACCTCAAACTCTTAAACCCCTGGGTTCAAGAGATCCTTTTGCCTCAGCCTCGCAAGTAGCTGGAACTATAGGCACCCACTACCACACCTGGCTAGTTTTTCTATTTTTAATAGAGACAGGGCCTCGCCCTTGCTCAGGCTGGTCTCAAACTCCTGAGCTCAAACAATCTATCTGCCTTGGTGTCCCAGAATGCAGATCTTATAGGCACGAGCCATCGTGCCTGGCCAGCATTGATTTTTTGATCAGATTTTTATGCTGCTTTTGTAATGAAACTTTATTAGTCTTGTGTTTTAAAGAGTTCCTAATTCACAAGGCACACCTTTCCTGATTCCCAATTCCTGTGTAACCTCCTCTGCCCCCAGCAGCCCTGCAGGTGGGTGGGAGCTGCCTTTGTCAGACAAGGAAATAGGAACAGAAGGGACTTTGCCCAGAGTGGCTGGGACAGGGATACCGAGCTCCGCGACCCCTGCCCTGTCGTCTTGGTCTTGCTCTGGCCGGTGTGTCGCATATTCCAAGACTGTGGTGTGTGTTCTGGGCTGATGGAATGTTGACGGTGTCCCTGACCAAACTTACCAAAATGGTAAAACTTGTGCAGCCTGGGCTTGGCAGAACCACACAGGGCAGGTGCCCTGGTGGGGGTCTGTCGGCTCATGCACTGCGCTAGTCTGGTGAAGTCTGTGGAAGATCATGAGTTCCTGACTCTCTCTAGGTGACTGACATTTCTGGGAACCTGGCCCAGGGTGGCCAGTCTGAGAAGGAGGGCCGGGTGCACCAGTGCTTGGAGTGTGAGCGAGCCTTCTCGTCAGCTGCGGTGCTGATGCACCACAGCAAGGAGGTTCACGGCAAGGAGCGCGTCCACGGCTGCCGCGTGTGTGGGAAGGCATTCAAGCGTGCCACACACCTCAAGGTGGGCCTGCGGACTCTGCTCCGTGCATGGCGGAGGGGAGTAAGAGGCTTGACTAGTACACTTCCCTACTTTCCCGAGGAAACGGTGAAGGGGGTGGGAATGTATTTTTTGGGTTGTGTAACTTGCATTAGGCTTGTGATACACAGTGAATAGACCCAAGTTGCAGGCCCTGTAGACTTTCAAAGACTCCAAGTAGCATGACCATGGCCGGGCAGCAGTGAAGTGGGCGGGGAGCCTGGCAAGAAGAACAAGGGTTTCACAGGCACAGCCTCTCCCTGGGGGTCGGTGCAGGGCCAGTCCCTGCAGCTCACTGAAGAAGCAGTGGGAGGGGGTTAAGGACACATTGCTCAGCTGTTAGAAACTGGTGGTGCCCCTGGGATCCCCACTCTGTGCCCCAAGAAAGGCCGAGCTCCTGTGTCCTGGGAGGTGACAGGTTCTCAGAGGCAGAGTCACTGCCTCTGCTTAGTCCCCTCTCTTCCCCCTGGGCAGGCTGTTCCTCTAGAGACTATCACCGCACTCCTGGCAGCCCAACAAACAGAAAGTGTCCCAGAAACAGATGGGTTGACTCTGTCGTGATGCTTGAATTGCCGTGCTGTTTCTCCTTTGCTGTTTCAGATGTCTGAGTTCCATCTTGATTTTAAATCCTCTTCTGTCTCTCTTGCCTCCCCCAGGAGCACATGCAGACACACCAGGCCGGCCCCTCTTTGAGCTCTCAAAAACCCAGAGTGTTCAAATGTGACACTTGCGAAAAGGCATTTGCCAAGCCCAGCCAGCTGGAGCGCCACAGCCGCATCCACACAGGTAACGGAGTTGGGGGTGTGGACGTTCTCTGACGAGGAAGCAGGCTTCCACACGTGAACACCCCCACAGGGTAAAGCAAGGTGCACTTGCTCCGTTGACCCCTAATTTTGATCTATTTATCATCTTGACTTTTTCAAGTAGCAGATTTTGCTATTTACATTATGACCATAGGAAACAGAAGCCATGAGACAAAAACTGCTGTGCTGCCCATCAAGCCCTCGTAGTCCACAGCTGACCCCCACTGCCTTGGCCATGGGGCGTCTAAGATTGGCAGTCCCCTGCTCTCTGCTGTCTCCAGCGTGTGTGGAGGTGTCTGTGCCTGGGTCCTCCTCCCAGCCCTTCCCTCTTGACTGTGTCATGACTCATTTTCAGGAGTCAGCTTGCTCAGCTGTCATCTCTTCCCCAGGAGGCCTCTGCCGCCACCAGCACCCTGCCCCAAGGCCAGCTTCTCACGTCCCTTCCCGGGCTGTGGTCTCCGCATCAGTCCTGTGATGCTGGGCACGGCCTGTGTCTTGCTGCAGGCCATGTCCTTTGTGGTTGGCTCAGACCTTTGGCATCAGCCAGGCATGCAGCACACAAGGCCCTGAATGACAAGTGTCCTGACGTCTCATTCAAAAACCTAATGATAGTAACACAGAGGCACAATGAAAGGTTCGGGTAGATCCACTCAGACAGATGACTGTGCTTTAGAAATGCCAAGAGGAATAGTACCTCTAGTCCCTGCGTGGTCTAGACGGAAAATCTCAGTATAGGATTCTGACACGTGCGATCTGGAGGGAGCTATGAGGGAGTGGTATGTGCCGCTTCTGGTTCACTGTGGCCTTTGGTCCCAGCGCAGTGATTTAGTATGAAACACACATCCTGGGTGTCTGTAGTTAGCGAGACTTGCTGTCCTGTCATTATCTTAAGGCCTGTTCGTGTCTTTACTAAATGTTTCTGTCGTCGTTCTAAAAACTTAGTGATTTAATAATATGTTGTCTCTGGCTTAGAATGTGAATGATTCCATTTCAGTTCCTCTGATCAAACTGTGGCTCATTTAATATTTTATTTGCATCTGGTTGTTAAAATCACAGTTGTAATCCTGTTTCTGAACTTCTCTCTTCATTAGTAACCCCACAGATCTGGCTGTAGCATCTGATACACTTGTATCTTTTATAGTTTTGTGTTCCATGGAGACGGGTGTTAAACTTTGAATATTTTAAAATTGGTTTTTTTTTTTTT